CTTCCCAGGTGAAGGACTCTGCACTTGCTCTAACTAGCCAGAAGTGGCTAGTTAGTTGCGGCGCTAGTTAGTGCTGCTGTTTGGGCAGGAAAGCCCTTGCAGAAGACTGGGGTGTTGCTGGTGCAATATACCCTCCAGTGGAGAGCTCCAAAGATGATGAGGGGACTGGAGCATCTCTGTTATGAGGAAAGGCTGAGACCTGTGTCTGTTTAGCCTGGAGAAGAGAAGACTGAGAGGGGATCTTATCAGTGCTTATAAATACCTAAAGGGTGGGTGTCAGGAGGATGGGGCCAGACTCTTTTCAGTGGTGCTCAGTGACAGGACAAGGGGCAAGGGCATAAACTGGAACACAGGAAGTTCCATCTGAAGATGAAGAAAAAAATTCTAGCACTGGGACAGGCTGCCCAGAGAGAGAAGAGATGTTGTGGAGTCTCCTTCTCTGGAGATGTTCAAAACCCACCTGGATGTGATCTGGTGAACCTGCTTTGTCACAGGGTTTGGACTAGATGATCTCCAGAGGTCCCTGCCAACTCTGACCATTCTGTGATTCTGTGAAAGGCAAAGTCCTGCTTCCTTTGGTGCATTGTGGTGGGAGGTCCGGGAGCCCCCGGGGTGGGCAGGAGGTGCTGCGGCTGCCCTCCCGTGGGCTGTGTCAGCAGGTGTGTAGCAGATGGCCTGTTACTCCCCTGTGGTCTGTGTTAACAAGCGTGTGTGCCCGGGCCCCCTGGCTCTTACAGATGATCCAGCTGCTGGCCTGTGACTTGCTGCTCTCTCTCCGCACCAGCCTGTGGCAGAAGCAGGCAAACGCCAGCCAGGCCCTGGGTGAGACCTACCACGCCTCGGCCCCTGAGCTGACAGGTTTCCAGCGTGACCTCGGCAGTCTGCGCAAGCTGGCCCATGGCTTCAGGCCCGCCTATCGCAAGGTGATGACTTGCCTCCCCTGCCTGCACCGCCTCCAGCTTAACTATAGCACTTCCCAGGCTGGGGGTGACAGGGATGCTGCAGCCCCTGGAAACATAGGATGTGCATGGGCTTGAGTGGGGTGGACACCGGGCATGGGATGGTCTGCCACCAGCAGCCTCCATATTTTCTCTTGGTGGGTGATAGGAGGGCTCCCATGTGAGTCTGATGCATGTGGGGAGGTGTCCACCTTAATTTCTACCTAGAAAACAATCAGCATGGCTGTATTACCAGGCAGATACCGTGGCATCCTGTTGCTTAACATGGCTTCAGACCAGGTCAGTCCCTCCAGGAGTGTGAAAGGAGGCTCCTTGTCCATGTTGGTTCTGCAGGTAGCTGGGGGGTCAGATGCCTTCTGCACCTGTAGAGCACCAGGTGCTTCTCTGGGGATTTTTGCTCCCTTCAGATCTCTTCAGTCTATCTAGTTTTACACCTGTGTAGAGAAAGTGTAGTCTAATACTTGGACAGTTGTCCTGGTATTGTCCAAACTCTGAACTTCAAAGTGTGATGCTGTTAGCAGAGTGCTGCACTGGCGGCCTGGGGTGAGATACCTGTCTAGGCCACAGTTCCAGAGTTTGCTCTCCCATTTCCACCCTGTTCCCTGCTCTCATTACTTCCTCTTTCCAGGCCACTCACAGTTATGTGTGAAAAGCTTTTTCCCTTCTTCATGGTTGCACTAACCTGCAAATTCTCCAGAGACAGGTGGGAAGATCAGAGAGGAGCAGGGAAGTGGGTCTCTGTTGTTGTCAAGGCATCAGGGCTCCACTCTTGAAATACGGTGGCTGAAGGATGACGTGAGTTCAGCTGCAGCATCACCCCCATGCCAGCCTGCCTCTCACCCCTCCCTCCTGCTTTGCCTTCCAGGTCTTCCTCCATGAGGCCACCGTGCGCCTGATGGCAGGTGCCAGTCCTACCCGCACCCACCAGCTGCTGGAGCACAGCTTGAGGCGACGCACGCCCCAGAGCAGCAAGCAAGGTCAGGCCCAGGCAGCAACCCACTGCCTGTGGGGCTGGGAGGGGCAGGCTTGGGCAAGCTGGGGGACACAGCTGCAACCTGCAGTGTCTTCTCCACGTCTGAGGCTCAGGATAATGTGCTCCTGTTAGCCTATGGCTTGTGGTGATACTTCTGCCATGCTCTCTACAAGCTGGCTAACGTGAGCTGCCAGCCCTGGGCTGGAGGTGTTGGTGAACAGGCTGGAAAAACATTTACCTTTGTGCAGAAGCCAGGAATCCTGAAGGGGAGAGCCAAGAGGCACGGTGCTAGCTATAAAATCCCTTGGGGGTTTAAGGGAATGGGCAGATGCGCATGGCGGTGCTGGGATGAGCCCTAGGAAGTGAAGTGAAAGGGACCATCTTTGTAGAAGAGAGGATTGGCAATTCCTGCCTGACTCCAGCTCAGGCTGTTCTCCACTGCTAGCCTAAAGAAGCTGCTTGAGGGTCTGCATGGTGCCTGCCACTCTTGGCATGGATGGGGAATGCCAGACAGAGATGCCTGTGCTCACTGGTGCCAGTTGAAGGCCCGCAGGCAGGGTTTTGTCATGCTGGTGATAGCTTCATCGTGAGCTTTCTCTCTTCTCTTGTGCATAGGTGAACTGGACGCCCTGCCAGGCCAGAGGGAGCGAGCCACCGCCATCCTGTTGGCCTGCCGCCATCTCCCTCTCTCCTTCCTCTCCTCCCCAGGCCAGCGAGCTGTCCTGCTGGCTGAGGCTGCCCGCACCCTGGAGAAGGTGGGGGACAAGCGCTCCTGCAATGACTGCCAGCAGATGATCGTCAAGCTGAGTGGGGGCACGGCCATTGCTGCCTCCTAACGTCAGCATGGGGCTGCCTTGTGCAAAGACAGCGTGGTCGACCATCAGCCTGGACTTCTCTTCCGGAGCTAAAAAAAAAGAAAAAAAAAAAAAGTACTAGGTTAGGGCTGTGCCAGTGGGAGAGGGAGGGGGGGTTTGATTTTGCCGATTGTTTGGTTTTGTTTTTCTTTTTAACTTGCCCCAGGTTCAGCTTTATTAGCCTCCTTGCTTGTTCTCAGGTGCTGCAGCAGAAATCTGTCTAGTTATGAGTTTTGCGACTGTGCCTGGGGCTGTTGGGAAGTGCTGCCCCAACCTGGAGGCCCTATCCCTGCTCAGGGGAGAAGTCCGCAAGCCCAAGGCATAGAATCGTAGAATACCAGGTTGGAGGGGACCTCAAGGATCATCTGGTCCAACCTTTCTTGACACGGTTGCAGTCTAGACAAGGTGGCCCAGCACCCTGTCCAGCTGAATCTTCTAAGTGTCCAGTGTTGGGGAATCTACCACTTCCCTGGGGAGATTCCTCCAATGACTGACTGTTCTAATTGTGAAAAATTTTCCTGTTGTGTCCAGTTGGAACCTTCCCCAGGAGTAACTTGTACCCATTCCCCCTCTTTTCCATGTGATTCCTTGTAAAAGCAGAGTCTCCATCTTCTGTGTAGCTACCCTTTAAGTACTGGAACATGGTGATGAGCCTTCTCTTCTTAAGGCTGAACAATCATAAACTCATAGAATGGTTTGGATTGGAAAGGATCATAAAGATCATCTAGTTCCAACCCCCCTGCTATGAGCAGGGACACCTTCCACTAGACCAGGTTGCCCAAAGCCTCATCCAGCCTGGCCTTCAACACTTCCAGGGAGGGGGCATCCACAACTTCTTTTGGGCAACAAACCAAATTCTCTCAGCCTTTCCTCATATGGCAGGCTTCCCAGTCCTTTGATCATTTTCATGGCCCTTCTTCGGACCCTCTCCAGCTTGTCCACATCTTTTTTGTATAGTGGGGACTAAAACTGAACGCAGTGTTCCAGGTGTGGCCTGACAAGTGCTGAGTAGAGTGGGATGATGACTACTTTATCTCTGCTGGTGATGCCCTTGTTGATGCAATCCAGCATCCTGTTGGCTTTCTTTGCTGCTGCAGCACACTGTTCACTCATACTGATCGGACCCTCTCCAGCTTGTCCACATCTTTTTTGTATAGTGGGGACTAAAACTGAACGCAGTGTTCCAGGTGTGGCCTGACAAGTGCTGAGTAGAGTGGGATGATGACTACTTTATCTCTGCTGGTGATGCCCTTGTTGATGCAATCCAGCATCCTGTTGGCTTTCTTTGCTGCTGCAGCACACTGTTCACTCATACTGAGTTGTTGTCTACCAGGACACCCAGGTCCCTTTCCACAGAGCTGCTCTCCAGACAGGTAGATCCCAGTCTGTGCTGCGCTCCAGGATTATGTTTTCCCAGGTGCAAGACCTTACATTTGTCATCATTGAACTTTGTAAGATTTTTGTTAGCCCACTCTTCAAGCTTATCCAGGTCTTCCTACCGGTTGGCTCTCCCTTGTGAAGTGTCTGTTTTGGTATCATCAGCAAATTTTGTCAGGGTACACTTGATCCCATCATCCAGATCACTTATGAAGATACTAAACAGCGCTAGGCCCAATATTGATCCCTGAGGGATCCCACTTGTGACAGGTTGCCAGTTTGAAAAAGAGCTATTTACCACCACCCTCTGGGTGCAGCCTGTCAGCGCGTTCCCCACCCACCACATGGACCACTTGTCTAGACCATAACATATCAGTTTCTCCAGGAGGAGGCTGTGGGGAACAGTATTGAAAGCCTTGGAGAAATCCAGGCAGACAACATCCACTGCTCGTCTCACATCAACCAAGCAGGTTACTTTGCCGTAGAAGGTGATCAGGTTCGTGAAGCACAATTTGCCCTTGGTCAATCCATGCTGGCTTTTCTCTATCACGTGCTTCATTTGACTTGTGATAGCCTTCAGAAGGATTCGTTCTGTAACTTTCCCAGGGATTGAAGTTAAGACTGGTGGGCCTGTAGTTTCCTGGATCCTCCTTTGAGCCCTTCTTGTAGATGGGGATGACATTACTCTTCCAGTTTTCTGGAATGTCCCCCAACCTCTGTGACTTCTCAACGATTATGGAGAGTGACATCGCAACAACAACCAGCTCTCTTAACGCCCTTGAGTGGATAACATCTGGGCTCATCAGTTTGAAGGGGTCAAGCTCCTGTAATAGTTCACATACCAACTCTCGTCTGTCCTCAGGGGCATCTTGTTCTCTTCCCAAGGACCTCTACAGAAAGAAACCTCTGGGGAGGGCAAGGGATCTGCTCAGGCCTTGTCCTGTGGGGCTGCTGGGGTCTGGGGCCATTCCTGAGAGAGGGGTAAGGCACTGACTTTCCTTGAGCTGTGTGTCAGGAAACTGAAGCCCCCTGGACCCAACTCACAGAGGTGCTCTGGGAGTATTGCTTGGGGCCAGTGCTGCCTGGCAAATTTATCTACAGTTTTTATACAGGTTTTTTATAGGAGTGTTTGTGGCTTTACAAAAATGTAGGGAACGATGCAGCAGATTTCCCTTCCTTTCCACTTCATGCATCTCCTGCCTGTGATCAGAGCTGCCTGTGATTTTTGGCAGGGGCTTGGGTTTGTGGCAGCCCCATAGGAGGCTAGGGGGTCCCTGGTCATTTGGCACCAGGTGGTGGTGGAGGTGGATGCGCAGCGCCCTGCACTTGGCATGAAGGGTGAATGCTTCTCTGGTGCCTTTTTGTTCATGCAGAAAATTTTTAGAAACAGTTTTTTATTTTACTAAATCCCAGTCTCAGAACTTGTCTTCAGATGTCTCCCCTTCAGCTGCTCAACAGCTTCTGAGCTCCTGCAGGGACTGGGAGGCACTGCCTCAGGGTGCAAGTCTCCTGGCTCTATTGCCTTCACTGTTCAGAGCAGTTTGACTTGGCAGGTGTTGATCACCTGTGGCTTTCCAAGAGGTGGAGGTGGATCAGGGACATGTGAGGAACGGTTTGACCTCTTTCTCTCTGCCTTTCCTATTGCATCCCTCCAAAGAAGTGTGAAGCAGTTGCCCACTAACGTGCAAATGTGGAAACCGGCCTTTGGGAGGCAGGCATCACTGTTTCTCCCTGTGCATAGCTGGCGTACGCTCTGTGATGGGTACAGGCAGCCGCCCAGTCCTGTCCTGTCCCAGTCAGGCCTGTAAGCATGGTGACTCCTCTAAATCAGACCTTGGGCTGTTTGGCAAGAAGCTTCTACATGTATCTAGCTCTTGCAGAGGGGCATGAGAGCTTGAGCTCCTTCCAGAATGAGGGGGGAAAAGATGAGGGCTTTTGGCTTCTGGGAGGGGGATTTCATGTGTTGCAGGAATTGAACACAAGGAATGGTAGTTGGAGCTGCCTGGCTTCAACAAGATGGAAACTGGGGCTAGGAGAATCCTGTCTCCAGCAAAGCCTGTTCACAGTGACCCCGTGCTATAGCTGTGAACAAAAGCGTGGGGAGCAGAAGATGCTTCCCTCCCTCACTCTATTTGGGGAATAGCTGGTGGACTCCTAGCCCTGACTGCCAGCAGCTCATGCAGTTGAAGGGGAGCTCATCCTTTTGGGGGGGAGAAGTTGCTCTTGCATGTCTTTGATCAGTGTAAGGGGTGCTCTGTTTCAGGTGGTGGCAGCCACTTCTGCTTTGAGCAGGTATCCTAAGCATGCAGAACAGCTCTTGGGTTTGGGTGGGTTTTGATTGCCCATCAGTGATCCTATTTTTGGGGGGTGGATCACATCCTCCTACTTTGTTTCTTCTAAGTGGCTCTCACACTGTTTTCCTGGTCATGTTTTTTTCCTAAAATACAGAAACTACTTTTGGCAACCTCCGAGTTAACGTCGTGTTTCCGAAGATCTGCATGCAATGTGTGGGAAGTTTTGTACTTTAGTAAAAGGGGAAGTGAGACTTTGGGAAAACAGAGATGCTGAGGCTTCGCTTTGTCACTTAATGGTGGACGGAGTCCTGGGGGAAGCGCTGCAGGGAGTACCGGCTTGGCTAGGGGGCTGCTGGCGGAACCCCTGGTAGCCAATGGCATGATCCATGGAGGGTCCTAGCACTGCTGGTACTCCACTCCTCTCTCCTCTAGGGCAAGGGATCTTTCCCCTGTTTTTTTCTACACTGTTCATAAATTTGCTGCCCATCTGTCCCTACAGATTTTTTTATATGTGTGTGTATATACTGTAACTTTTTTTTGTTTGCGGGTAGGAGGAAATTGTTTTATGGATTATGTGAAGAAAGTCTATTTATCCACATGGAGTTGGGAGTAGGGATGCTTTGTGAAACAAGGTGCAACTGGTGGTTGGGAGGTTTCCCAGGGAACATACCTGCTGTCTGAAAACCCTGCTCCAGGGCTCGTAAGCATCTGTTCCCAAATAAAGGTGAATGTTACCACCACCACCTCCCGCCTGCCCTCTTTTTCTTAGCCCTCTTCCTCCCACCCAGCAGCTGCTCTTAAGCATAGGTGAGCCTGCAATGTCCTTCAGAGACATCCAACCTCACAAGCACCTCAGTCCTTTGTCCAGATAACTTGGAAAATGGAGCTGTATGGCTTGCAACAAAAGATAGTCCCTTGGTGGAGCAAGTGTGATGTCTCTGTGTTCCTTTGGAAGCAACCCAACAGGCTTATGACTTGAGAAGAGCCAAGAAAGGTAGAGCTGGGCTAGAAGCCTGCAATTTTAGGAGCATCTGTATGGGAGGAAAGCTTTTACCTGACCTTGCTTGGAACACTGTCCTTTCACTCCATGTCTTCATTTCTCTGTTCCCCCTGGTAAAACTGTCAGAACCATTAAACTTCAGACAGAGGAGATTGTTTGGTTTTTGTGTAGCAGCTCAAAGGGTTTTGCAGTTGGCCCTGGAAGCTATGTTCCCACCACGTCTCCCATCACAGAGGTTCCCCAGGCCCTGTGGGAGTGGGCTTTGCACCCTGCTGCCCATGGGGAAGGGGCTGGGGTTTTGGGAGCAGCGC